AGGCATAACTAGTCAGATAAAATTAAGAACATTTTTTGAATTGACTGTATTCCGCAATGCTGACAGACTGTTCATGATGACAAATACTAACTGAATTTTATCGCGTTTATTTGTCACAGGGAGTGCTGTTTTTCGCTTCGATGGTTATCTCAACCAGAAAGACACAGCCAAGAAGCTCGTCCGAGATGTTTTTTCCAAAGATGATGTGGCCTTTGTGTCCGGTGATGTGGCCATACAGGATGAGTATGGATACGTTTTCTTCCAAGACCGCACTGGCGACACCTTCCGATGGCGAGGCGAAAATGTATCGACTGCCGAGGTTGAATCGATTGTGAGCAAAAAGGTTGGGTTAAGCGATGTTGTTGTTTATGGTGTAGAARTTCCTGGAGCAGAAGGAAAGGCAGGAATGGTCACCATCGCCGACCCGCAAAACGTGCTTGATATCGAAAACCTCGCGTCGAAACTTGGTCCCGTGTTGCCTAGTTACGCCTGTCCCGTGTTTGTTCGCGTCGTGAAGGAGGTTGCTATGACAGCAACGTTTAAATTCCAGAAGAATAAGCTGAAAGAAGAGGGTTTTAACGTGAATTTAGTGAAAGATCCAATGTATTTTTTAAATAGCAAAACAAAGACTTACTTACCTATAGATTCTGATGTTTATAATCAAATTCTTGACGGGCGAATTAGGCTTTAAACAATTTGAGATCGAAAAAATTTAGAGAAGATGGAGGTCAAGCTCTATCGTTGAAAATAGGTAATTCTTATATTCGCATTTTGTGCCTTGTGCTGTAGGAAAAAACCCACAAAAACTAAAATACAATCAAGTCTGTTTTCTTAACATTCTTACTGTAACGAGAAGAAATTCTGCGCATTCTCGTAATTAATATAAACAATGAAATCCAATCGAATTGTTATTTTAGTTTTTTATGTATCGATATGTTAAAAATACGTGAATTTTRTAATAAAAGCAAAACGTAGGACAGTCTCGCGCCTATTTTTTATGTTTTAACCTTCCCCTGCCCTCCGTATACTATAACACCTCTATTCTGCCTGCTCACTAAGTGTAAGCCTTTTTGCATTAGTTAACAGCCGAAAAAACAAACAAACAAACAAAACGAAAAACAATACAAAGATTTTTTTTCACCAAAACTGAGCTTAGAATTTTTTTGATGATTGATTAAAATTCAGAAGTTACGATATGTCTAACCGGAAGTAATATACATAGCTCTTTTCGAAAGTACGCATTGGAAAGTCGTAGTCGCTACCGGAAAATACGAGTTACTCGGAAGTTATATACGCACAAAAGCTATGGCAGCTGGGAAAACGAAACGATTTCTTTCAACTGTGGTGTAAATTGAGGTAAATTGAATTTATGGTGTTCTGTTGTGGGAGGGTAATAAACCGAGGATTGACGGATCACGGAACGGCGGAACACGCAGAATCTGCGGAAATACCTCAGAAAAATTATTTCAATGCACAAAGACATCTATTTAAAATGACTATACAATATTGGCTCCGTCTGCAACGCAAAAAAAAAAGAAAGAAAGAAAGAAAGAAAAGAAAAGAAAGAAAAATTAGAAAAGTTATTTTGATGCACTTTTATCCAAAAAGACATTTATTTAAAACGAAAGTTTATACAATACTGGCTCCGTCTGTAAGCATAGGTTTTTAGAACTAGTCCTCTCTTAACTTTGCCGCGCTCTTTTTTCCCAAAAAAAGTAAGATGGCGRAATGAACGGCGTCGAATGCGAAACCAGGTTACCAGGCCACATTACAATCCAGAAAGTTACAGCTATTTCAAAAAAGGTTGRATACTGTATACTGAATAGTGCTTTCCAAGACCAAAGGGCATTGTGGGTCTCATAAATTTGAAATAAAAAGTAAAYATACAGCAATTAACTCTCTACATGTAGTTAGTATATTGTTTCAGATGGAATACACTAAAAATAGAGTAAATAATTATTATTAATCCTTTGTTAGACAATGTCACTATGGCCCGCAATGCACTTCGGTTTTGGATGCACTATTCAGTATGCAGCCTTCAGTATAGCTAGCTTAAAATTAGTGTGAGCTGGCATCGGTGTTTCTAATGAAACAGTAATGATAAAAGTAGAAATAGCTGTATACTGTTATGTGAATACGGCGGAGCAAAAAAAAAAAGAAAAAAAATTAACCGCTTCTTTAAAAAATCATGCTTTAAAAAAATAGAAAAACTTATCAAGATACGATGGGGTTCGAACCACATAAGAAAGAAATTTAAAAAAAAAACGATTCTACTTTGCCATACCCCCGAGACATCCGCAGAGCTG